GATGTGACCCCTGGGGATCAGTGGCCGCATCTGCTCCAGGGTTGATCCTTGGATGTCAAGAGACTCGAACCCCAAAGTCTGAGACTCTTGATCTGCTTCTGCAAGAGACAGGGCAGCAGAGCTGGTTTTTCATGCCTGGCTCAGCCCCAAAGTCAATGCATGACCTTGGTTAAATCATTGATGAGCCAGAGACCACGGAGCCCACGGCAGGTGACCTTCCCTCCGCACGGGCTGGGGATGTTCCAGCTCCTCCTGCCTCCAGGAGCCCTCTCCAAATGGGAGGAAGCGCTGTTACAGTGCCGCCCTACTCACCCCTTCGCCCAGTTCACAGGGTTTTTGGGTGATTAATGTCCCTGCCCATGGCAGGGGGGTTGGAACTCGATGATCTTTAAGGTCCTTTCCAACCCAAACCGTTCTGTGATTCAATGATTCGATGATTCGATGAACCTGCCGAGTTATCCTGCTGCAGGAATATGCTTTCATTACAGAATTACGAGAAATGCAGCTAAAACTTGGGTGCTGCTGGTGAGGAGTGAATCACCGCCGTGGCACAGGGGTCAGAAACCGCTCCGGGGCATCCCAGGCAGAGAAGGATCATAGGATCCTTCTATTAACAAGATCCTTCTAGCAACCCAATCCCGGAATGGTTTGGGCTGGAAGGGACCCCAAAAAACATCCAGTGCCACCCCCTGCCATGCGCAGGGAACCCTGCCCCCCTAGCCCAGGTTGCCCAAAGCCTCATCCAGCCTGGCCTTGAACCCCTCCAGGGATGGGGCATCCACAGCTTCTCCGGGCACCCTGGGCCACTGCCTCACCCCCTGCACAGGAAAAAATTTCTTCCTCACATCTCATCTCAATCTGCCCTCTTTCAGCTTCAAACCGCTCCCCCTCATCCTGTCCCTGCACCCCCTGATCCAGAGCCCCCCCATCTCTCCTGTAGCCCCCTTTCAGCACTGGAAGGTGCTGGAAGGTCTCCCCGGAGCCTTCTCCTCTCCAGGCTGCACACCCCCAACTCTCTCAGCCTGGCCTCGTAGGATCATTGAATCCCAGAATGGTTTGGGTTGGAAGGGACCTTAGAGTTCATCCAGTTCCAACCCCCTGCCATAGGCAGGGACTCATCCTCATTCCTCCCCGAATCCAAAGAAATTCCAGCACCAGCACCAGGTCTACACAGAGCTCAGCTCCTGCCGTCAAGCCCCAGGATCCAGCTCGTGGCACTGAGTTTTTTCGCCTCTTTTCTGCTTCCCTTCGGCTCTGGCCGCTCCGCTCACACGGCTGGGGTGGGGAGGAAAGATGAAAAGTAAAATAAAAGGCAAGAGCTTCTTGTTGGCCCCATGGAGGACGAGGAGGGGGCTTGTTTTGGAGATGGGGTGACTGGCTCCTCCTGCCAACTCCTTCAGCTCAGTGGGGAGGAAAAATAATCAGCCAGACGAGGCATTTGACCCTTCCTCCTTGCGTAGCATCCCTTCCACTGTGTCAGCAAGGAGGTCCGCTGCAGGAGGCTCTCAGTGTTAACCCTCCTCTACATGGAGGGAAACTGAGGCACAGGGAGCCTGGGAAGGAGCAGGAGGATCCCGGCTGCGGGATCTGCCAAAATCCAGCCCGGCTCCTTCGGGGTGCGGGGACCAGCCTTGCACCAAGGGGCCCCTCACCCTGTATCATCCCCTGAGCACCAGCAATGGCCTGGCCGTGATGGAGAGGAAGAGCTTGACCCCAAAAAAAAATTCTTGTGGCTTTTTTTTTTTTTTTTTAAACATACCCAAAGCTGAGCTTTACTCCCCATCCTCCAGCCCCACGGAGCTGGATGTGCTCAGAGGAAGGAAAGAAGTCTGAGAGAGCCGTGGGGTGAGGGTTGAGTCCAGGGGTGCACCCACCAAACCAGCCCCTTTCCACCACCCGGGACCCCGACATCTCCGGGGAGGCAGAGCCGGGGCGATGAAGCTGGAAATGAGCCAGGAGTCAGGGGACTGAAGGTTTTCTGCTAGTTCAGAAAAAACCCCGAGATCATTCCAAGTCACCCCAAAAACTACGACACGTGAGCAATAAACCAGCAGCGTGAGAGGGAGCTTGGTGCTCCAATCTCCTCCTCCCGAGGATGGGCGAGGACCCGGCTCAAACCCAGCTCCTTCCCCATGGGATGCTCTGCCCCAGCCCCCTGCCTCCATCTCAAAAGAGAATTCATCCCCCTACCCATTTAGGCATCATTTTGTCTGAAATTTCTCATGTCCCCACTATTCAACAGCAGCAGCAGCTTTCCCAACCCCTCCCAGGGACCCCAGTTCCCTTCCCCATCACTTCCCAGTTCCTCATGGGACCATCCATACATCTATTTTGACAATCCTTTCTATTTTCCCAACCCTTTATCCCAGCCTCCCACCTCTGTGGGACCTTGGGGACAGTTTTCAAGGCTGCCAAAGCCACCTTCAGCCCCAGGACCAGCCCAGAGGGTGGATGGAGCCACAGACACAAGCGGAGAAGGAGAGAGAGTGGGACTGAGGCAGAGAAAGGCACAAAACAAGAGGGGAACCACTGCTGGGCAGGGAATAGAGGTTTATGCTGGGCAGGGAAAAGAGGTTTATTCTCCAGAAAGTTGAGGCTGGTTTTTTTTTTCTTAAAAAAAAAAAAAAAAAGAAAAAAGACCTAAAATTATAGGAACTCAGCCATTTCCAGCACAATGATATATAATTTTATGAGTCAACATGTCCCCCTTGTTGCCACCACCCTTTGCCCAAGGCGCAAACAGCCCACGGGGAGGAGGGCTCGACACCGGAATCGCACGGCTTGGCCCCATTTATGGGGGGGGGTGGGAACCAAACCCACTGAGCAAACCCTCAAACCCACTTCAGGGACTGTCCCAAACCCATGGACACGAGACAAGTTCAATGGAGACGTTGCCCATCCTGCAAACCGGGAGGACGGCGGCTGCGCTGGGCTGGAGAAGAGCAGAACCAGCTTCTCAGCGATGGAGATGTCCCAGCTCGGTCCCCTCTGGGCACAGGCACCACCATGGGGACATGGTGTCACAGGGAAGGGGGGGACGGAGCAAGGCGACACGGACAACGCGGGATCCGGGCGGCGGTTTAGAGGATGGAGGGGACGGGAGC